GACGCTCTATCATCCAAGGGAAAACTCTATGGTTTTCCCTCGAATGATTGTGGCCCCGCCACAACGTGCCTGATGCGATTGTGTCACTTCCGGATGACGTGTTTACACCGGGCGCATCACATGATTTGGGGGCTTAAGTGGCTGTTAGGTTAAGTGGCTGTTAGGGTGACGGTGGAATGTATTGCCGTGTGCACAGCCAAATATTTTTAAAGGGACGGGAGGGGCGGAGAGAGTGTAACACCTCCTGGATTGCGGAAGCCAGGAGAGGAAGCAGACGGCACAGGCCCAAACATCTGAGAGGAGTCCAGGGCCATGAAAACAAGATGACTCCCCCCTGGGTGATGGTGGTCACCGTGAAGCAGTAGTTTGACCCCTCTAAGACCCCCCCTCCAAAGCACAGGTTGACCCCTCTGAGAGGTTCTGCAGGACTGAAAGAGCCATCTCTTTAGTGTTAGCCAAACTGTTTTATCTACGACAGATGGCAAACTAAATTTAATATGGGTTCCTGCCAAAGTTTACGGAGGTCCGGTTCACCCCAAGGATGTCCCAGTGAGAGAGACGAGACTGGTGAATTTAAATCAATTTGTCTTTTACTGAAGAATATCAAAATCTCATACACACTGCGGCAGAAAAGGGTGCTGGGTCTGCCAGAGTGGTATACTATTTTAGAGACAGAAAGCCGAAGTAAAGGCAGAAGGACTTGGAAAATGGCCTTTTGAAGCGAAGAATAAGAAGACGATCAGAGACTTCTCTCATAACAACTAACAAAATAACATGTAAATAGCAAATTGTTATAAGCAAGAACTCTACAAGTATATTGTGATACTAAAACTAATTGTACTAACATTTTTACTAACAGTGAAAAGATCTCCTCCTCTTGGGGTTTTAGTTTAGTGTGGTTTGCTTTCCTTTATCCTTAGTTGTAGTCCCTTCCCTAATATTTCTTTGAAGTTTTTGTAGTATTTGCAAAATAAAAAAATATTCCTCCGGGGATTAAAAAAAAACACAAAACCTGGAGCATGCAAAGTAGGGTTGCCAAACCCCCCCGGTTTGGCAGGGGTCCCCTGCTTTTGGGGGGCTTCTACCCACTGGCGGCCAGCTGGCTGCCAGGGGAAGCCCCACCCCCCACCCAAGCCCCAACACCCGCCACCACCCCTCTCTGTGCGCAGGGAGCCGGCATTTCTGTGCGCCTGATCTCTGCAGAGAAATGCTGGCTCCCTGCAGTTAAAGGGGCCCCTTTAACTGCAGGGAGCCAGTGCCCTGGGCAGGCAGGCAGGGAGGATGTCCCCAACGTGACGTCATCACATCGCTGGACTTTAGGGGGTAAAAGTAGACAGAGGATGATGAAGGGTTTGCGGCTAGCAAACTTCAGTTTTTATAGGTGAGTCTTCGGGTGGGTGGCAGCCTTGCCAAGCGGGGACCCCCACCTACCTGTAAGTCCGTCCCATCCCTACATCTTACTGGTGCGTGCAGAGAGGGCGTTAACTCTAAGGGTTGGGCCAATATTGAAATACTAAACTCTAACTCAGGGACAAGCCATCTGGTCAGGTGTGAAATCTTGGAGTCAGGATCTTCCTATTGAAGTGCAGGTAAATCTTGCCTGTTCCCAGGTCATCAAAGCGACATCTGCCAGGAAATGGCAATTCAGATGTAGATTAGATCTGTGTATTGCGTGACATCAAGTCCTCTAGTAATGGGGGATTACTTGTCTTTAAACTGTGGTTTCTGCTAACAATGGTGAAATGTGCTTCTTCCCCTCAGGCCAGGATCTTGTATATCTACAAGCTTCATTAACATGAAATGCAGGTAGCACTTTCTCTGTGTAACCTTTCACAAACTGGTGCTTCAAGCTGCGTTCCCTAAGCCTAGGGAGTTTGTGTATGCACAGTTCATGTAAAGTTTGTGTGTGTCAGCAGATATAAATCCATAAACAGCAAATATCAGTCTCTTTCTCAACATTAGAAGCCCAAGAAGTTTCCAGGCACATAAGGAACTAATAAGCTGCCGCTGAACATACTCATTCTCTCTTTTTGAAGAAGAAGAAGAAGAGATTGGATTTATACCCTACCCTTCACTACCTGAAGGAGTCTCAGAGTGGCTTACAAACTCCTTTCCCTTCCCCTCCCCTCCCCACAACAGACACCCTGTGAGGTAGGTGGGGCTGAGAGAGCTCTGACAGAAACTGCTCTTTCAAAGACAGCTCTTGTCAGAACTATGGTTTGCCCAAGGTCATCCAGCAGCTGCAAGTGGAGGAGTCGGGAATCAAACCCGGTTCTCTGAGATTAGAGTCCACGCACTTAACCACTGCACCAAATAGGTGTAGTGCTTCCAATAAATCAGCAGTGGAGAGATTTTATGGAGGAAATGGAAGAAGAAGAAATGACGACATAGAGAGTTTCATGATCTTTGCAAAACAACAACAACAACACACCCCGAAACAACAACCCTGGTTGAGAACCACACTTTGGGAATATGTCACTGTCCCATTCTGGTGCTCTCCCTGTTTCGTTTGACTTATTTGTACTTTTTTACAACCTTATATGGAATCAGGCCATTGGTCCATCAAAGTCAGTATTGTCTACTCAGACTGGCAGTGACTCTTCAGGGCTTCTCAGGCAGAGGTCTTTCACGTCACCTACTACCTGGTCTTTTTAGCTGGAGATGCTGGGGATTGAACCTGGGACCTCCTGCATTACAAGCAGATGCTCTACCACTGAGCCACTGAGGTCTTTCACATCACCTCCTGCCTGGTCTTTTTTAACTGGAGATTCTGGGGATTGAACCTGGGACCTTCTGCATGCCAAGCAGATGCTCTGCCTCTGAGCCACTGAGGTCTTTCACATCACCCACTGCCTGGTCTTTTTAAACTGGAGATTCTGGGGATTGAACCTGGGACCTACTGCACGCCAAGCAGATGCTCTGCCACTGAGCCATGGTCCCTTTTCATTTTAAATAAGCTCTTTTCCGCTCTGCAAGTGTTTTTCTGCAGGGATTTGAGACCTTTTTGGGGGCAGAGGGCAGAGACTGGCTTCTACTGGCAAAAGCAAAGCTTTTAAAAAAAATCGGGAGTTTTGGATTGTGTTATATTTAATCCATTTTTAATTGGGGATCAGTTGGTAACCCCATACAGGTTATGGCAAGAGGGTGTACTAAAAATGAAAATGGAGCGAGACATCCGTCTTTCTTCTTTAGATTATTTTGAGCTATCCTCCAACGAAGCAGCTGACATATGAAGAGCAGGATCTCGTCTGGAAATTCCGATATTATCTTACTAACCAAGAAAAGGTAAGTATCATTTTTTTTAAAGTGTATTTCCCCCCCTTCCTCTTTTGTGCTTTCCTGGATAAGAGGGGCCTCGGGAATTGAGAGCTGAAAGCATAATAATCATGGAACTGTGTTACTTTGGATTTTAAAATCTTTTAAAACCCACGTATGCCTCCCCCTCCTCTTACCATAAAGTCTTTGAGCAGGAGGTTTTTAATTTAAGCCTGAAACTGCCACCCAGGGGCTGTGGGGTTGTATACTTTCCACCCTGAAATTTGGAGTAGTGCAGATTCACAAGAAGTTGCGTTAGACGGAATCAGACCCTTGATCCATCTAGGTCAGTCTTGTCTACTCAGACTGACAGCCGCTCTCCAGGGTCTCAGGTGGAGGTCTTTCCCATCACCTCCTGCCTGGTCCTTTTAACTGGAGATGCCGGTGATTGAACCTGGGACCTTCTGCCTGCCAACCAGAGGCTCTACCACTGAGACACCGAGGTCTTTCCCATCACCTCCTGCCTGGTCCTTTTAACTGATTGAACCTGGGACCTTCTGCATGCCAAGCAGATGCTTTCCCACTGAGCCACAGCCCCTGTTTATAGCTCTCCAGGGTCTCAGGCGGAGGTCTTTCACATCACCTGCTGCCTGGTCCTTTTAACTAGAGATGCTGGGGATTGAACCTGGCACCTTCTGCCTGCCAACCAGATACTCTACCACTGAGCCACTGAGGCCTTTTACATCACCTACTGCCTGCTCCTTTTAACTGGAGATGCTGGGGATTGAACCGGGAATCTTCCGCATGCCAAGTAGATGCTCTACTGAGGTCTTCCCCATCACCTACTGCCTGGTCTTTTTAACTGGAGATGCCAGGGATTGAAACGGGGGATCTTCCGCATGCCAAGTAGGTTCTCTACAATGAGGT